AAATCGACCCGTAACAATGTTTATGGATTGAAGGTCATATAGTATTGTTTTTATCTTTGATTTATGAAATGCGCCTTTTCTGATTTTCCCTTCGCTTGATGCTATTTTTGAAATTTTAAGTTGAACATTTGAATACAATTGTGATATGAGTATGTTGAATTTTCATTATATATTGGATCCAACTATAAAATGTTATTTTAGTCTAATGTTATATTTTGTTATCCATATATTATATGAGATTTGACATATATAATTTAAAACTATATGAACAATATAATGCATATTTATATATCCGAACTAAACCAGCGTTAAGCAATCAGACTATAAACCAGCAACCCACTAGCGATGCTCGTTTTATCTTCACTTTCATTATTTTCTAATTGATAAATTTGGGCCACGTACCATTTAAAGAAATTAAGGTATATTGTGTAGGAGTGGACCAGAACAGAGGCTTTTAACTATAGCAGATTCTCAACGTGGACACTCATCAGAGAGTAAGCTTCGCTAGGAATGTTGTAATTAATAAGCATTCTACTATCTCTGGACAACTTCTTATAGTGAACGAGTTCATCGTGATATATTGAAATCACATATATAATTTTGTCGTTTTACATTTCTTAGCTGGAATGAACTTGGGTACCTACAAAAGAAAGCATTAATGATCTTTCTCCTCACCTCAAAGAGGAACTCTTGATTCCCGACGTTACATGTTCCTATCAGTCCTAGCTAGCTGGAGATGGTGGTCCAGAAGTTCTTCTTCTTCTTCTTCTTCATTCATCGTTTCATGGTCTATCAGTCCTAGCTCAAATAATTAAGACTGACTGTGACATGACATCCGCCAAATCCATAACTTGTCGCAACCATATAAGTAAGCTCAGCGATTCACACGTACACCTTTTATTTAATGTATGTATATATTTGCGTGAAATTGTTAATTACTTATATGCATATGGTAATTAACTATTTATTCGTCTTCTGTTTTGGGGGAAATACCTATGGCTAATTCATTTTGATAATTAAGCTTTCTTTGTTGAAAAGAATTACATAGTTAGTTGATTAGATAAGTAAAACGCTCAAACTATTAATAGAAACGCTGTGTGCACAGCTGTTGTGTACATTAGAAAAGTAGGTTAGTCACTACAACATAAAATTGCATTAGTAAATTGTTAAGACATATATAAAATAAATGTTTTAAATTTTGATTAGATGGAACTGAAAAATTATTATTCATTTTATAATCAATTTTCATTTATTTATAGTAAACGAAATGAACAATTTCTAATAATATCTATATGGTGATGACTGGTATACTCCAGAATTATAGTATACTCACGACAAGAAAAATGACCTTTAGCGACAAAAATTTGCGGCACATAAAGTAATTGTCTCCTAAAATATGTTATACTCGACTAATATATTTTCTGTCTCTGAAAGTAAACTTATTTGTCTCTAAAACTATTATTTTTATATTTAAATTTAATTTACTTGAAATATCATATATAGAGGCACATTTATTGTAATTGTCCTTTAAAGTTTTGTTCTCTTATTCGTGGAAAAATGGATTTTATTATTATGTTCATATTTATAAATTTTGGAGGCAGAAAGTATTTTGCTGCTACATTAACATTTTTTTAGGCTAAAATAATGGTTGTGATTGCTTCATCAATTAATATATAAAATTATACTTCATTTACTAAAAATATAAAATGTGCCTACGATTGTACTTCAAATACCAGCTATTAGGTTTGTCTCCGTATGGGTTATATCTGCCTCCAATTATTAAATATTTTTATTATTATTTTGAATTAGTTGATATTCATTCGTCCTCCAACTTGTAATTAGGTAACATCCCGAATTTTTTCCCGACGAAGATACTGTTCGCTTTGGGCCTCTACACCCGTACGGATCTCGAGTTTTTGGTGCAATTCAGGGTGACTTCCCATAAGGTCACCCATTTTTGTTGTACTCCACACTGAGCACGTTTAACTTCAGAGTTCTCACAAGAACTCCTCTATTACACCCCAAAACGCGTCTTGTCAGTTAAGGTCGTTTTCTTACTTATGAATCATGATCTCTCCCGTGCTTTATCTATGTGGGACTTACCTAAAGTGTTACATACACGCCTGAAAAACAAATTATACGAACTACTATAACACGGTCCCATATCTTCCTAACTCAATAATTGGGCAAGATGATATAAGACTTTTTGATGGCAGAAGAATCTTACTTTTTTTTCTGTAAATTAGAAAGTGAAATTTTATATGCTTATTATTATTAGTACAAATCACTTGTCCTATTATGTGGCAATGACGTCGGTGGCAGGAATTATGGTACCATTATATCATCAAAATTGGAATCTGAGATAACAAATTAAAGGTGTGTTTATGGATAATGAAGACAATCTCGGTTTTTGCATCACATGTTTTGCAGCTTTCGGTTGTTTGTTTGCAGTGCCTACTCGTTTCCCGTTTCCCGTTTCTTTCTTTTTGTTGTCCTCTGTACTATTGGATCAGGCATGTGATCCTTGCCTTGTATTACTGTCCTTTATTTAATAAAATCGATCATCAAGTAAATAAATAATTATTAGAGTCACGTGGAGTAGGAATTACTAATAATTATGCAAATTAAATCCATCACGTGAGTTTACGAACAAAGTCCCAATTGTCAACAGCACAAAGTAAGCAATGATTTAAGATTGATTGATAAAATGAGTAATTTAATCACAGAAACAAATCACAAAATCTTAAAAAAGGAACTCAATAGAGAAAGCTCTAGCAAATTTCTGGTTTCGTTAACATTAAATCTATAAAATATAATAATAATTTTCTCTATTTACACTTTATCATTTTAAATTTTCAGACTTCCTATGCATTCACATTAGCATTATATCCACATTAGCATTCTTCCCACCGATAAGGTTTTTCTTAACTCCTTTTGTTCTTTTAATTTCTTATTTACTTTGTACATCTAACTGTTTAAATTGAAATAGTAGTTTCATTATTTTTTAATTTTAATATTTAAGTAACCAATGAGAATGTGTCACCTAGCACTCCCTCTCTCTTCTTTTTTCAATTTTCCTATAATTCTTAACTAATTGCTTTATTTTGTTTTTCAACTCCAAATTTAGATATTTGTGCATAAAATATCATATTTTATGTAATCTATATAATTATATGCATTTTGATGTATGTTGAAGAATAAAATTCAAAAACATGGTCACGATCGTATACTAATGAGCCACACTCCTATTCAGCAATTACTAAATTATATCAATACCATTGAACACTACCATCGTACACAAATCACCCATGTATTGTCATAATTCGTGAGACATGTTTTTTTTATTATACTAAGTTAGTAAACTATATACATTTTAATTTGTATTATCATAATAGACAAAAATTTCATTCGTGTTAAAAACTTTATCATGAGACACAAACTAAATTATCTTAAAAAAAATCATTTTCCGCCCAACTTATTATTTTTTTTTTTTCCAAGGCAAGCCGAAAGGGCATGGGACAAAGACGCGACTCAGATACAAAAAGGACTCCAAAATAAATGCGGTAATCCGTAAGCAAGCGGATTCCCGATGAAAGAGCCGGTTATAGCCACTACATGGGCAGCTCTGTTAAAGCTCCGAGGAGCAAATGACACGACACTGACTCAAGAAAAGAGAAAAAAAGAGCACTTCCTCCAAGACAGCTCCTCCTCGAGAATGTGTAGCATTCTGATAACCAGTTGATAACTTCCTCCAACTTATTGGGCTCAAAGATAGTGTTATAACTTATAATAGTGTCTATTAATGAAGTTAATCACATAACTCCACGACCAAGATAATCTGAATTATGACTCTCCCTTTTATGACTTATCACGTACTATTAAAAAATTCATACGCACTGCTCTCAGTAGGCAATACGAACTATGAAATAGTCTAAAGACCAATTACCTCTATGTTCATAAATTTATTTTAGGGTTGGCAACCCTGACCGACCCATCGGGTATCCACCCGAAACCCGCCCGAATTTTGACCTAAAAAACCGTCCGTTATGGGCTTTTGGCGGATTCGGGTTTACCCGAAACTCGTGAGTTACGGGCGATGGGTGGCGACGGTATAAGTGGTATCCACCCCGCCCCCGCCCCGTATCATAAAACGACGTCGTTTTAGACATCGTATATGAACCAAACAAAGCAGACTGCCAACCCTAATCTTTATTTTCCACTATCCGTCCCAAACGACTGCTCCCATTCCTCTCCTCTTCCTCTTCGAGAACCTTCCGAAACCCTAGCTGCTTTCTCTCCATCGAATCTCCCAAACATCTAATCCGCTCAAAAATCTCGATGTTCCCCACGATTTCCTCCCAATCCAGGTTGTTTATACAATTATGATTGCCAGTAGGCAATCATTATCTCTCAATTTGGCCAATTGGATGCTAGTTTTGCCGGCAATTTCGTCGAGAAACAGCATGCAGAACCCTAAATTGCCTGCTGCAATCTTCGATTTGCAGCTATTGGGGGAAATTGGCGTGATATCACACATCGAGCGAGATAAGTTCTTTCTCCCTCTTCCTTTCATATTCTGTTGCACTTTCTTGCCTTCTTCCTTCTTCTCGTATATAAATTAACCCCTCGATTAATTTCAGGTCACTGGTCAGCCTAACTTCTTCCTTAAACCCATTACCTGCACTCTGCTCAGAGCACAGTCGAGGTAAGCACAAACTTATACCTTCATTTATCCATATTCATGAGCTATGTCTTTATCAATCGATGCATGGTAATTTTATTTTGTTTGTTTTGGCTTTGTTTGGGAGTTCTTTAGGTTCGCATTAGGCATCAGCTTAGTGCTCACCATCTGCAGTCTGGTGAACAGAGTCTCCCTCTCCAGATTACAGGTTAGGCATAACCTTGGTCCAATTCAACTCTCGATTATAATTTGTATTGTGTGATTTGTCTGGGTAGTTATGGTTGATTGATTACATGCAATTATTTAATTGTTTATGTAGATGGATGGTGCTACTGAAAATTGTGCTTTGAATGCGAATGATCCTACTGTACCTTCTAATCAAAATGGTAATGGCAATAATAATGGTAATGCTACTGCTACTGCTACTGCTACTGCTAATGGTTCTGGGAATGATGCGTTGAATAATGGAAATGAAAATGTTGAAATAATTCTGGATGAAGATCGTAAATTGACTTCTGATGTCTGGCCACATTTTGTGAGGGTGAAGTTTAATGTGGAGATTAAAGCCAAGTGTAAATACTGTCGAAAACGTTTAGGTGGTGATACTAGTAATGGAACCTCCCACCTGAGGAACCATTACAAAACTTTCACCCAAATAAAGATACATGATGGTAGGCAGAGAGTTCTTGGTCCTGATTATAAACCAACTGGAAAATCCCTCCTATCTGCTACTCAATTCAATTCTGATATGTCTAGGAAGGAATTGTGCTCTATGATTATGGTGCATGAGTATCCCCTGAACATTGTTGAACACTTGGGGTTTAAACGTTTCTGTTGTTCTTTGCAACCCCAGTTCACTGTCCCTTGTAGAAATACAGTGAAGAGGGACATATTTGCTTTATACGGGGTTGAAATGGCAAAGCTTCAGAAGGTTTTAGATGGTAATATTGGTAGAGTTGCAGTCACAACTGATATGTGGACTGCAACTAACCAAAAGATGGGGTATATGGCGGTTACTGGGCATTTTATTGACAATTCTTGGAAACTTAAAAACATGATGTTGAGCTTTGTCTATGTCCCTGCCCCTCATACTAGTTAGAGGTTGGGAGATAGGTTGTTCAAGTGTTTGCTTGGTTGGAATCTTGATAGGAAGTTGTCCTCGATTACCTTGGATAACTGTACTACCAATGATGCCATGATTACTCATATGAAAACTAAACTTGCTATGGATGATCTGTTTTTGGATGGTGTGTTGGTTCAAATGAGATGTTCTGCTCATGTTTTGAATCTTATTTTGAAAGATGGGTTGGAAGTCATCAAGGATGGCATTGAATTGGTAAGAGATAGTGTTGTGTACTGGAAGTCCACTCCTAAGAGGGTACAAAACTTCTTTGAAACTGCTAAGCAACTTAAAGTGCCTTGTGAGAAGCAACTTGTGCTTGATTGTCCAACGAGGTGGAATTCCACCTATGATATGCTATCTACTGCCATTGTGTATAGAGATTTTTTCCCTCGTTTAAGGCAGTGGGATAGTCAATACACCACTGTCCCTACTAGTATGTACTGGGATTTTGCAGCTATGGTCATTGATAAGCTGGAAATTTTCAGTGAGATTACAAAGCTGTTTCCTGGCAGCAAGTATCCAACTGCTAATTTGTTTTTTCCCAAGGTTTGTGATCTGAGACTGAAACTATTGGAATGGTGTGTTGATAACAATTCTCTTATCTCGGCTATGGCTGAGAGTATGTGGGAGAAATTTGCTAAGTATTGGGATGATATACACTTGGTTCTCGCTGTGTCAGTGGTTCTTGATCCTATATACAAGTTGCATGTGATTGAGTATTATGCTGCTAAGTTTGGCAGTACTAATACTGACTTGGTGGCTGATAAGATTAAGCAATGTATTTGTGGTTTGGTGCTTGATTACCAAACCAAGTCTGAGAAGAACAATTATGGTTCTTCAACTGCTTATGATAGTTCTTCTACTCCTGCAAATGATGATCATGATTTCGAACTGTTTGTGAGTCGGAGGAAAAAAAGCAAAGCAACTCTGGTCCATACTGAACTGGATCACTATCTTCTTGAGGAACTGATTCCTAAAAGGTCTCCTGACTTTGATATACTTATGTGGTGGAAACTGAATGGCCTTAAGTACCCCCACTTTGCAAGCAATTGCAAGGGATTTCTTGGCCATACCAATTACATCAGTGGCTTCTCAATCTGCTTTTAGCTCTGGTGGGAGGTTAATAGACCCTCATCGGAGTAGATTGCACTATGATACAATAGAGGCAATGATGTGTACCAGGAGTGGGATTATGGAGGAAATGCAACAACAACCATATTAGTTTTCTAATGTTAATTGGATTGAATGTTAATTGTCTTTTTCATTGTTTTCTTCAATATGCAGAATCATCAAAGGCTGCTGTAGAGGCAATGGAAGGGGTGTTCTCAGCTCTAGCAATTGCAAATTCCAGTACTGAAGATCAAGACGAAGCTGGTAAGATAGTTGGTTCTCAAATTTGACTTCTGTGCAATTAGTTCAATTTAGATTGGTACTTAGTTTGATAGTTTCAATCTGTAACTGTATTCTTTTATTTTTGCAGTTCAAGGGGGACTTGTGATGAAGAAGCATCTAATATCCCTAGACGACTGATTTGTTGAAAGGTTCGACTGTTCAAGGTATTGAGGCAGACTTGAGGCTTTTTTACTTATTCAATTTAAAACGAGTTTCACTTCTCTAACTGTGTTTGCTACTATGTTTCTTGTAGTGATTGCTTTTCAATGATGAATGCTGTTGTTGAGTTGGTTTCCAGCATAGTGTTGCTTGCTTTTGGAAGAAAAGATCAAAGGAACTCGTGCTAGTAGCCTAGGTTTTAGTTCGATTTATGGATGATGTTATTGGGGCTGTCTGCCTTTGTTTTTGTATCTCTTCCTTTTGATTTTTGAACTTGAACACTAGTGTAGTGAAGAATATGTTATAATGGGTTATGGGTGGTGGATTTTTGGTTGCAGCAGCTTGTTTGGTTGCTGCAACCTATCACTTTTGTTTCATTGTTTGAACAATGAAAATCTGGGTGTTGGGTGGTGGGAGGGTTACAGCCCCAGATCTTCCTTTTGTGTTTTGAATTTATGTGCCTTGAACATCAAGGTACTTTGTAGTTTGAATATCAGGGATTTTATGTTAGTTTTTTCCTTTTCTTTTGTTTTTTCTCAGGATCCGTGGTGATCCGTGGTTTACCCGAATCCGTCTGGGGACGGTGACGGAAACCAAACGCCCCCCGTTAAAGGCACGGGGACGAGGAAATCCGTTGGCTTTGACGGATGGATAACAGGAACTAACTACCCGTCCCCGATCCGCCCCGTTGCCAACCCTATTTATTTCCACTCTCTGCTTCAATAAATTATTATGTTGGTTTGCTAGTGTTAAATCTCTAGATTTCCGTCTATGTACTCAATAAAGAAAACATATCATTAAAATTGATGATCAAACACTTTAAAGCATTAAGCATAGCAACACACCATAGAATTAGAAACGAATAATAGATCAACTATAATCAATAAGGAATAATTTAACTCAATCCATTAAATTCTCTAGAAGCAGGAAATTAGCTCATAATGGAAATAAAAACTATAGAAAATAAATAAACATTATGAAATAGGAATAATTATAGAAAATATATTAAGTACTAACTATAAAGTATCCAGGTAGCTAGATGGGTAAGGACGAAAGGATTTAGTTAACTCAACATCACTAGACAAAACAATTGTCCACCTCAAATGAATTGAACACACTAAATCGTATAAATCAAAACCCACTTAACTGGGCGAACCAATTGTCAACCTCCTCGAAACAAAGTACTTGACTATTAAATAACTAATTAACATAAACTAAAAGCAAAAACATATAATTAAAACAATCCATGCATGCATAATCACATGAATGAAAAGAAAGGAAAATAAGTACTTATCATGAAAACCAAAGGAAAAGCAACCTGAACATAAGAACAAGAACCCACGTTTATCAAAGGAAAATAATAATAGCCAAAATAATTAACTAAAAAAAAGTGGAATAGAGACGATCGCAGAAGAAATCACACATATGGGTCTATTCCTACACAAAGTATACTGTCATGTGCATTTATTTAATTTATAATTGTTAATTAATTATGGGTTGTTAGAGATTATTAGGACGAGATTAGTGGGGTTAGTGATGGCCTAGAATCGGGGGACTTAGTTAGGTGTTTTCGTTTGGGCTTTCTAGTTTGTAGGGTTAGTATTTTCATTCTGTATTTAAGGTAGCAGATGGATAGATGCAAAGGAATCAATCAAGTATAATCAAGAAAAGCGTTTTACACACCTACGTGTTAATTTGGGAGGTTGGCTTTCCTCGAAAAAGCTTAGGGGTTCTCGCCATTAAGGATAACACTTCTTTTCTTCTCAATCTATCTATCCTTCCTATATTCTTCTTCTTCCTATTTCGATCTTTCTCCCTATATTCTATTCTACAAAACGTGCACATAACATTTGGTATCAGAGCCAGCTGATCCTACGACAATGGAGATTCGAGCAAAATCACTTGATTCTAAGCTGGAGGCGATGGTGCAAGAGAACGACATATTGAGGCAGGTGATGCGAGAAGGTTTTGCTGCTCTCAATGAGAGGTTCGATCGATTGCAAGCATTGCGGGAGAAGAAGGAACCCAGCATGCAGATCGGCGCCAACGGGGTAGGAGGCGGCAACCAACTCAAGGCCAAAATCAATTGGCCCCAATTGCTCAAGTTAGAGGTCGATGCTACCAGCGAAATGCAAACGGTGCTCGGGCCAACGGTTCTCCAACAACATAGCAATGCACCAAAAATTTCAGAATCTCAAGCCTCTTCTCTTGCTGTCACGTTGATGAAATCAGGACCAACTTCAATTGTTCAGGGGACGTTCAAAGAAACTGAATTCCGGAAGACGACGGAGTCCAACCCCAAGCAACCAAACCATTCCGAGTCCCGTAATGACCATGCCCGCTCGGACTCTTCCCTTGTCCAAGCTCTCTACCTACTCATCATACGCTACAAAACCTAGCGAAAAGAAGGATAAGTGCTTGGATGATTTTCTCTTTAATTGGTGGAATTTCCCATTTGTTACAAAAGCAACGTTCTTTGGTGGGGGTTACTTTGCTGGCAGAAGCAAACTTTGATAATGGGACCTTAGCGTCTCAACTATGGTGGCTCATGCTCTATGGAGATCCCGGTTGTCGGCAGTTGAAGAAGAAGAGTGATGTTCTTGGCTGATTCTTGTGGTCAAGAATCTTTTCTAGGGGATGGAATGTAATGTGCATTTATTTAATTTATAATTGTTAATTAATTATGGGTTGTTAGAGATTATTAGGACGTGATTAGTGGGGTTAGTGATGGCCTAGAATTGGGGGACTTAGTTAGGTGTTTTCGTTTGGGCTTTCTAGTTTGTAGGGTTAGTATTTTCATTCTGTACTTAAGGTAGCAGATGGATAGATGCAAAGGAATCAATCAAGTATAATCAAGAAAAGGGTTTTACACACCTACGTATTAATTTGGGAGGTTGGCTTTCCTCGAAAAAATTTAGGGGTTCCGTTCTCGCCATTAAGGAGAACACTTCTCTTCTTCTCAATCTATCTATCCTTCCTCTATTCTTTTTCTTCCTATTTCGATCTTTCTCCCTATATTCTATTCTACAAAGCGTGCTCATAACATATAACCTCCCCCATTTCAGTACCATCGCAGAGATAAGGTGTATGTTAGACTATACTTAGGGAAGTTAAGATTAAACATGCTTTTTGCAAAACAAACTTTATAGAAGATCATCTAGGTCATTTTTTTGTTTATTATGTATTTCAGGCTCTGAACAATATACTCTGTTTATTGGTTGTACTATGATCGAGTTGGTGTTTCTACTTACCCTCCTCTATGACCACACACTTTAATGCTCTCTTCAATCCGCCAGCTGCTTCGTCTGCTCCACTTACTGCACGGAAAACCAATCTCCGACTTGCTAGCTTGAGGAGGATTCATTTGCTTCTTCCTCCAGTTACGTGTCCATGTCCTTAAGCTATCACATAATCCCATATTTACC